GGTCACCTTCAGCCTCACTCTGAATCAAAGGCTTGGCAACTAAGTACACAACTGTAAAATGGCCTATTGGACGACACAAAGTCCTGTTACCAATTAATCATAACCACTACATTTTCTGAAAAAACAAATACATTTATTTGAGAAAATATATCCGGTAAAAGACATTGTCTAAATAAGAAATACTTCCATTTTGTAAATTCCCTAGTTTTATAGGGGAAAGTGGTTGTTGCTATGGCTATTGTAATCAATTTTGTGTTGGTGTTCGATTACAACTCTACAGAATAATTAGTGAAAAGTAAAGTACTACAAAATGACCCAATGTAGAAAGAAAAAATTAAGGTGAACTTTTTTACGACTAACGGTTAAAATTTGTCCATTTTTACGCCTTACGGCCAAATTCTTAGCAGTTTTACAACTACCTATTAACCCCATTAAGAAACTCTACACGTCGCTTCTTTTAGATGAGTTTCAGAGAACTGGTGAAATATACAAGTTTTCTTTTGCATGGGTCGCTGAGAATCACGCTTCAAATCACCAGCTGACGAGTTAGATTTTTGGCTGATAAACAGTGTGGAAAACATGAATGGTAATGAAGGGTGCCGAGGGTTCAGTGAGCAGAAGTCGTGAGGGAATTTACAGTTCTAACTAATAATGGGGTAGTTATGAGGCTAAAAATGAAGGAAGATTTAACTAAAATGGTATAAAATTAAAGGGACCGAATCAAATGACTTACCCGTTTCCCGGGATCGCCTCGAGGTCCTGTTACGCCCTAATTTTGAAATACAAAATTATCAAAATTGACAAAGAAAGGCTGAACGTGGGGGGGAGGGGGGGAGGGGGAAGGTGAAGGCCAAGTGGCCAGAACCTCCTTTATCAAGTAGTGTAAAATCATAAAATTGCTGGTGGATGAGTGGGATGCTTGTCTATGGCAGGTACGCCTCTTTAACCCATTAATGGCCGCAGCTTTTGTGGAAAACTGAGTTTTGAAGCTAGTCGAGCAGATTTCGGGTCACTGTTGTGGTTTTAAAAGCTCAAACTTACCAAAACCCCTTGACAGCTCGTACACTCGACGGTGGGTAATGGAACAAGATTTTCGCGCAGATTTTCAGGTCAAAGTTACATGGTTTTTTGGCTATTTCTCCAATCTCCTTTACTCAACTGCGCTCATTCTGGTATCATTAGTAAGATATTTTCAACCTGTTCAAGTCCGTGCTCAAAGTCGTGCTCCAGAGTTAAAAGTGATGACGTCACGAGGCGTAAAAAGGGTGTGGGTCCCCATGGGCGCATACGGGCGCACTGGACGTCAATAGGTTAATCACCAAAAGCAAAACGGGCATTGGACGAATAAAAAAAAATCCAAACCTCCTCTCCAGCAAATCCATCTTGACCAGGCGTTCCTTGCGCTCCCAATGGGCCCTACAAATGCAAAAACAATCATAAGAATACAAAGGGGGACAAACTGTTTTTTTTTTCCTAGTTTTACATTTATCTGAAAATTTCAAACAAGAAACTCACACACTACCACTACCACCAAACTCTGAAAATATCTCCCCCCCGCCCTCGTTGCCACTAATCTAAATTTGCCTCAAGGAGGAGCAATTGAAAGCAGTCTCTAATGTGATAACCTCTTAAACATACAGTACCTGTTTCCCTGACAGTGTCTACGGTTTAACGAGAAGTTATACGTGAGAGTCACATGGATACTAGCCCACTCACCTGAGGACCAGCGGGGCCTTCTGACCCGTTTCTTCCCGGTGCTCCAACCTCGCCCTGTCAAAATGTGACAAAACATCATAAGCGTGAGATCAATTTGGTACTCTTCAGGAAATACGAATGGCCGGTATATACGATAAATCATGAAAAACACTGTGACTAATCTCTACGACAGAACACTTCGCATTTAGCGTGTGGCACATCAGTTTGAATTTGTGCGACTTCCTGGGACGACAAAAGTATATCACGCAGATAAATATTTTGTTAAGAATTCCCTTAATTCTCCCTGTGACATCCAAGTGAATTTTTCAATCTTTATGTTCTTAGTGTAAGGAAATATTACATCTGCTTACTTCAAAGCCCATGCGTCCCATGTTTCCGGACTTTCCGGTATATCCACCATCTCCCTGTAGGAGTGACGTTTATAGTGATCAATGACGACAATGACAATTAAAAAAGAAATGCAATTGTTAATGATAATGGTAATTGCAATGTCAATGGTTGCGATAATAGCCATGATAGTGGCAATGGCAGTGGTAATTGCAGTGGTGATGGCAATTGCAATGGCTATGGCACCAGTAAGTGGTTAGAGCGAAAGCAATAGGAATGGTATTGGCTATGGTAATGGAAAAGGCCAAAGTGACGGTAATGGCCGTCGCTATTAAAGTGTAAAAGGCAATGGTTATGGTGTAGACGATAAAAATGACAATAGTACTAGCAATGGTAATTAAATGGTAATTGTAAAGGCGTATTGGCTATGGTGATGGAAATAGTATCAGCAATGGTATTGGTAATAGTTTGGTAACGACAATGGGATTGGTCATGGTAATTGAAATTGTGTTGGCCATGTTTATGGAATAGACCTTTTCACAGTTGTGGGCTTGGTGGCCAAGCCTTTGAAAAGGAGTGAGGCTAACGGTGACCTTGTTATGATACAGATGTTGATGCTTTTCAAATGCAAGTTTCTTTGTTATCGAGCTAAGTAGATATTGGTCTCTATCACAACAATATCACCCTCAGCCTCGCTTCAAATCAAAGGCTTGGCAACTAAGTACACAACTGTGAAATGGTCTATTGGTATTGGCCATGTTAATGGCAATAATATTGGCCATGGTAGTGGAAATGATATTGGCCATGGTAACGGAAATAATATTGGCCACGGTAATGAAAATGATATTGGCCATGGTAATGGAAATGGTATTGGCCATGGTAATGGAAATGGTATTGGCCATGGTAATGGGGAAATGATATTGGGCATGGTAATGATATTGGCCATGGTAATGGAAATAATATTGGCCATGGTAGTGGAAATGATATTGGCCACGGTAATGGAAATAATATTGGCCATGGTAATGGAAATGATATTGGCCATGGTAATGGAAATAATATTGGCCATGGTAATGGGAATAATATTGGCCATGGTAGTGGAAATGATATTGGCCATGGTAATGGAAATGATATTGGCCATGGTAATGGAAATGATATTGGCCATGGTAATGGAAATGATATTGGCCATGGTAATGGAAATGATATTGGCCATGGTAATGGAAATGGTATTGACAATGGTATTGGTAATAGTAATAGTAACGATAATAGTATTGGCTATGGTGATGGAAATGGTATTGGAAATAGTAATGGCAATTGTATTGACGAGGGTAATGGCAATGGCCGAGAGAATGGTATTTGTTATGGGAATAATAATGGTGTTAGCAATGGCAATGACAACGGCAAATACAATTACAATGGCAATGGTTATAGCAATGAAAATGACAATGGTATTGGTACTGGCGATGTAATGGCAACGGAAATTGCATTGGTATTGGAAATGGCATGGGGAAAGGAAACAGTGATGGAGAAGTTCAGGAAAATAAAAATGGTGATAAGAATTTCTTCGTGTCAGAAAACAATGGAAAAAAAAAAAAGAAAAGAATAAAGAAACAAACAAACAAAACAATAAAAAAGCAACAAAAATACCCTTTCTCCTATAATTCCAGGCTCTCCTTGCTCGCCTGGGTCACCCATCACACCCTGGATGTAAAAAAAAAAAACAATATCATTATTTTCATGACTATCATCAAATTCTACGACTTCTAAGTCTTGATTGTTGTTGGCGTCACTGACGTCATTGTAATTGGCTGGGCGAGGGTAGTCCTTATAAGGACTCTCGCCTGTTGTGGTGACTGACGTTTGGACGACCTGAGCGTAAGTCATCATCAGAGTCACGTGAGAAGTCGTTATAAGTCGAGTGTTAAAGTTCACTTCGTGAAAAGGGACAGGTCAGTTCTTGCGAGAATCCAGTTTTGGTTTAAGACTTTTTCAGTTCCTTTTTTCAACCCGTTAAGTGACTATCCTTATTAGTTGTGTTGTTGATATGGAGATGTCGATAATTCTTACATCACGGCCTCGTTCTCCAATTTTGCCAGGGTCACCGTTCACACCGCTGTCACCCTATAGGGAAAAAGTAGGAATGTTGAAAGATCTGAGTAGTATACAGGTCAGGAAATAATCTGGCAAGAAATGTAAGTTAGTTCCACCGTTATGCATCAGACTGATCTGAAATTAGGACCACGATCATCCTCTTATTGCACGGTAAGAACGAGGACAAGAGGACATAAGTGCCTCACCAGAGGGAGGGAAGCTAGGGTTGCTTCGTTTATACTTACCGTTTCCCCTTGTGGGCCACCTTCTCCTTTTTCACCGGTTGGCCCAGGCGGTCCGCTAGCTCCAGCCACTCCGTTAGGGCCTGGTGACCCTCTCTCGCCCTGGTTGCCCTGGCAACGTACACGAACAAAAACAGGTCAGAAACACAACCAAGAGTGAAGATCACTATTAAAATTCAATCACTGAGTAAGAAGCACAAAGGAAAAGCTTCCCAAAACAGATACAAATTAGGTCAGACATTTTTTTGGCAGTAATGTGACCATCCGTTTGACCAATTTGCCGTTGTCGATAAGAGTGCAGACAAATAAAATCAGATAATAGTGGGATAATTAAAAAATGTAAAAAAAGCTCAGTAATGATGAAGTTATATGGGGTAAGCACCAAAAATCTTTGCATTCAATCCACGAGAGAAAACAAGGGGGCGCTCTTTGGTTAAACCTTTTGTGCTCGAATTGGAAGATAGAGGTGGAGGACATCAATTAGTGAAGGTGATCTCTCAGGAAATCTCGACTGTATCACACAACACGGCATAAGAATCAACTTAAATCGTCGCTGCTCATATTTGTTATCCTCACCCCTTCTCCATTCTCACCAGGAGTTCCCGGAGTTCCGTCGAAACCATTTGCACCCTAACGTATAGGAAAAACAATGATCACAATTAAAGAACAAAAAAATAAATAAATAAGAGAGGGGAGCTTAAAAGAGAGGGGGGCTTATTGAGCGAGGCATACTGGAAGGGGGCTCACTTACAAGAGAAGGGGCGTATCAAAAGGGGATTATTAGAAGGGATAAAGGGGTAGTTTCTAAAGAAACTCTGGTGCTGCATCGGTAAGGGAGTTTAACAAGATAATTTGGTTTTGTAAATTGGCCACCATAAAGAGTATCCAGGCTGATGTTTCGAGCGTTAGTGGTTCGTCACACCGAATGATAAAGGGCTAACGCTCGAAACGTCAGCTTAGATACCCTTTACGATGGCCAATATACATTATCAACTCAGTTGATAAAACAGAATTATCTTCTTAATTGAAGGGAGCGTATCATGGAAATCTCCGAGAGCCAACATGCGTTTTAGTTCTTAACAATGACCCAAATAAATAAATAAATAAATAAATAACAAATACCGCACACATTTCTTTGTTAAAAAAAACCTTAGACATTTTAAACGCAACCTAAAACAGGGTCTAGAATACAAATATGTTTAAAATTGAAACGACAGAGGGGAACCTTGTGGCAATGTAGTGCTTCACACCCGATCGCGAGAGGGAGGTGGGCTTGCTTAAGAGTGAGGAGTCTTATCAAAGAGTTCACGTTATTATGTGGTTTCCTGACAAGCCCTAGTGACTGCTTAAACACATTACAAGGTAAAAAGAATAAGAAAGACAATAAGTGTTTAGCTCGGCTAAGAAATAGAGATATATGTTTTTCGTCTTGTCACGAGCACGAAACAAGGAGTATGCAGTATGCAGTATGCAGTATGCAGTATGCAGTATGCAGTATGCAGTACGCAGGATGCGTGCCACATATGACCTTCGTAATGGGCCTTGCTCACCAGGCGTCTGGGTGGCTCAGTGGTAGGGCATCGGAGCGCGTAATCTGAAGGTCTGAGGTTCGATTTCTCAAGGGAGAATCAGAATTGTTTTCGTTGTCCCACACTCGTGACAAGACGAAAACACATTACAAGGTACTTACTGGTTGACCCTTTGCTCCGTCTGTGCCAGGTCTTCCATGGGGACCAGGGTAACCCTAGTGAAAATTACGAAGAACAATCGTTCCGCAGGAAGAACAATATTACACCCTTTCTCTTTTGCTATGTTATGCTTTTTGTTTCTCCAAAAGGATTTTTCTATTCAGTGTTTAAAGTTATCTAAGATTTAGGTGGTTTTTCTCTACTGCACTCTGTAAGTGTCATTTCAAACTAAAGCAACCTCTTCCACTTATAACATATGAAACTTTTTTAATTACTGATGGCGAGTTGATCACTTGCATTTTCCTACCCCTTAGGAAGTTTGCGTCTGCTTAGTCTAACTTCTACTTGCCTCTTTTTCACACATTTTCTGTTTAGAACTATCCATGTCTTCGTTTAAGGGTCACAACGTTCAGAAGATTCTAAACCGTTTCGAATTGCCCCCGCAAAATCATACAATCGATATGGCACATATTTACCGTTCTGCCGCTTTCTCCAGGATTTCCGCTATATCCTGGAACACCTCCAGAACCCTGCAAGAAAAGAACAGTGCGTGAGCAATTCCCAAGAGACATTTAGATTCTCTTACAAGCACGACTGCGAAGTCGAGATTTTCGACAAAGTGAAGCAATACAAAGGCGCGACCTTGCGTTATTTTGGCGGGAAAAGAGCAAAAGCCGTCAACATGATAGTTTAGTCTTTGTAAAAACAACGCAGTAGTAAAAACCATAGGCAGATTTGAAATTTTTGTCAGGAGAGGGATCAACTATATCCGATAACAACAACTGTGCAAACTTCGTTGGGCGTACAGAGCAGAAATATACCTCATAAAGAATAATTTTTCGTACCTTTATCTCACATTTTCACAAACAATTTTTAGAACCTTACCGCTTCACCCACTGCCCCCTCAGGACCAGTGCGACCGGGAGGGCCTGGAGCACCCTAGACATACAAAAATAGCATAAGTTATTTCAGCATTTGAGGCCTTTAGAGGCTACGTCAAAATGTCCTCAAATATTATATGATCTTCTTATGCAATTATGTTAATTAACTATTTCTGCCGCCGTTGCACTTTTAAATTAAAAGAAGCTTTTCAAAGCTTTTGGCTTCGAAACGAGGCAGTAAGCATTTCCTCCATTCTATAATAACATATCACTTCTCTTATTTCAACACAGGAATTTTACCAAAGTCATTACGACTCCAGAAGTCAATCTTGGGAATATCAACGATGCAAACCCTTGTTCTTGGGCCATCAAATCATTGATAACATTGAAACTTAGCGCATTCTGCGATGATAAACATCAGGACCGGGTTGTTCAAAGCTGTGTTGTTCAAAGCTTGTGTTAGTGTGAAATTTGATTTCAGATCTGAAAGCTCTGAAAGAAAATACAGCTTAATTCCATTTGTCTACAATTTGATGATTGAATGTCCCAAAAAGAACTAGGAAAATTATCCCAAAATGGCTTTTGATCAGAGAAATTTAGAAACCTGGATTAAAATTTAACACTGGGTCAGAGCTAATCGGCCTTTGAACAACTGGGCCCAGGAAGTACACGTTAACTTGATTAGACTACCATCGTAACAGTTCTAAATAGACGGTACTATTGCCTTAATCTAAATATTAGAAATCAAAATCAATAATCAATCAAATAATATCGATTATTAAAAACTGGATCATTGGGTAATGCAATTCAAGACTTTTTATTGGCTTAGCCATTATGGTATATAAGCCAATATACCATAATCTAATATCTGTACATTGTAACATCCGGTTTCTTACAAAATAAAGTCGAGAAGATTTGTCTATTATCTTAGGGACGTTTTTTTAATAAAACAATTATTCCACTCGCGCTTGTTGGATATGAGATGATTATAGCCAACGAGGCGCTACGCACCTCGTTGGCTATCTATCATCTCATATCCAACGCGCGCTCGTGGAATAATTGTTAATTAAAAATATGAATATGTGGTTAACTTTAAAAGTTTGCTTTTTTTCGCTATGTTTATAATTGTTGTTTGTATTGAATTTACCGATTGTCATCCTCAAGTGAAATCAAACCGAGGAGACACTTTCAACTGATTTTGGTCTTTCTCGCTCTCTGTTCGCGGTAACGTGGCATAATGTCAATTGCCACAAAGTTTCACGACCCATGCTCAAATTCCAGGTCTCTACGATTTAGTTTACAACAGTTGATAGGAGATGCACTAACCTCGCGCCCAGTATCACCCTTAGGGCCCATGGGTCCGGTTGGCCCAAGATTTCCCTGACGAATAAATATGCAAGAGAATTCTATAAACGACAGTATAACACTTGCGTTAGTAGCGTGCACGCAATTAAGGAGAAAGACAAGAGAAAGCTCGCTCTGGTGCTCACGCGTGTGACTTCTCGGTGAAGCTCTGATAAATCGCAGACAAATATTTGACTATAAATTAATGCAGTTCTTTTAAACATTCCTGGGATGCTTACCAACATTTGAGAAGGATAAAGGGTTGCTTTTGGCTACAAACTTTTGTGGTCATTTCTAACCTTTTTGTACAAAGTGACTTATAAGCAATTGAAGCTTTTAAAGAAACAAATTTACAAGCACCACCGACAGCACCCGCTCCTCGGAACTATCAACAGTCTTCTGTTGAATTAAAATCAGAATATTTACCACACGCCCGTCTGCACCACTGACTCCAGGGGTTCCATCTCGACCAGGCAATCCCTAAAGATAATTAAAAAACAGACGAATAACAACTAACACTGACTTTAAAGATTTTCGTTACCCACGCAATTTTCACACCTACAACACCTAAAAAAAACATCTTCGGTTGCTCTCTGCTAAAATTCACGATGCTTTTTGCGATGCAATGTGGCAAAACAGTTGAAGACCTTGGTATCAAATGAAAACGGCGAAACATCACTCCAAAATTCAGGAAAAAAATTAAATTATCTAGCTTTTCTGCAATTAGGAAAGGGAAGATCGCCAAGAGCTTAAACGATGATCTTCATTGATAGAAGTTTTAAGTTTTCATTTAAAACTTCATTTGTTGTTGACATTGTGGAAATATATAACTAGTTTATTAAATAACCCTCCGTTAAATCAGCCTTAGCTAAATTGGACCCCTTTGCATTACTGAGTATAATTTAAAGAAGAATAGATAGCTAAACGTTTTATAATAAGGAAAAAAAGTAACCAAAACAACGCTACACGACCACAGGTGCTGTGTTCAAAGTTCGTAATATGTGACGTAGAAAAATTTAGCTTTCCATATCGGGGCATCATTACTGGCATTCTGAAACTGATAACGGACGCAACGAAATGATACATAGCCTGCTAAAGTTCGAAAGAAAAAGAAACGACAGGAAAAAATACAAATTCATTACCACTTGTCCAGGAAGCCCAGGCAGCCCACTTCTTCCGACAGGTCCACGTGCACCCTGTCACATCAATCAAACAATAATTTTCACATTCACCACGCCTACTTTAAAACTGGCGATCTTCACAGGAGTTCAGGAAAAGCCTGGTTACTAAGTAAGAAGGCTTGGCCACTCGTGTTTCTTCCTTTACTAATTGTCTTCCTCGAGTGTCCGAACGCTTCCGAGATAATAAACTGGCTTGAAATTTTGATTTATATTTAAAAAAAAAACTCCTAATTGCATGCTTCTACGTAAAATCAAAATGTGAAGTTAGTTTGGTATTTAAATTTTTAATGAGATAAAGTTTCTAGATTTTGTTTTTCTAATCAATTTCTTTTCCAAAAAAAAAGGAAATGTGGTTCAGTTGGGAAAGGAAAACGAAAATTTTCCAGGGTGGTTACAAAAGGGAAAAAAAAAAAGAGTAGAAGAAAGAAAATTCGATGAATTCAATAAAGCTCTCCAGCTAACAGTAAAGCTCTCAAAATCTGTTACTCTAAACAACAAGGGTGAGATGAAAAAAGAGGAGACCGCAAAACTTACCAAGTGATAAAAGCATGGGGAAACTGTTGTTCTAAATATCGAAACCAAAAATTCATTTTAATCTCAGCTTTTCGCTGCGGTAAAGCAAAGACGTAGAAAAATTATACCTTTACACCGTTAAGTCCTGGTTTTCCAGGCGATCCTGAAAGTCCCACTGGTCCCTGGTAGAAAAAGAAGAAATTTTTAAGAGACAGATGGTCAACAGCATACCAAGTACAGTTAAATAGCACTTCTCTAAAAATCATGAGTCAAGGTAACATTGTGAAAGGCTTCAATTTCTTTAGTAAACCTTTGTTGAGTGTGTTGTAGTAATTGATAATATTATTAGTTTGTCAGTATTGAAAGGCACGCATTGTAAAAACTCTCTGTTTGTCATTTACAGAGAGAAAAAGTTTTCCTGAAAATATCACCTGGTTTGTTTCCTAGTTTAGTTATGCAAAACACAAAATTCTGTTCGCTCTGCAAACACTATGTTTCGGTCTATCACAAGTCTCCCATCAGGTGTCCCTTGTAGCCATTCTGGCATCGCAAAGCTTTCGTCGCACAAACTGCTTTGCAAGCAATACACATTAGTAGCACAAAAGCGGTTACTTACAGGGGGTCCCTGAGCTCCAGGCTGACCAGGTGGTCCAGAGGAACCTCTGATTCCCTTTAAAATAAATAAGAGAACACGGGCATGGATTAACAAATGAAACTTTTCCTTACATTAACAATACGATAAAATAAATTAAATAAAATAAATAAAAATAAATAAAATAAAATAAATAAGATAAAATAAATAAATAAAATAAATAAATAAATAATAAATAAATAAGTATATATAAATAAATAATAAATAAATAAAAAATAAATAAGAGAACACGGGCATGGATTAACAAATGAAACTTTTCCTTACATTAACAATACGATAAAATAAATTAAATAAAATAAATAAAAATAAATAAAATAAAATAAATAAGATAAAATAAATAAATAAAATAAATAAATAAATAATAAATAAATAAGTATATATAAATAAATAATAAATAAATAAAAAATAAATAAGAGAACACGGGCATGGATTAACAAATGAAACTTTTCCTTACATTAACAATACGATAAAATAAATTAAATAAAATAAATAAAAATAAATAAAATAAAATAAATAAGATAAAATAAATAAATAAAATAAATAAATAAATAATAAATAAATAAGTATATATAAATAAATAATAAATAAATAAAAAATAAATAAGAGAACACGGGCATGGATTAACAAATGAAACTTTTCCTTACATTAACAATACGATAAAATAAATTAAATAAAATAAATAAAAATAAATAAAATAAAATAAATAAGATAAAATAAATAAATAAAATAAATAAATAAATAATAAATAAATAAGTATATATAAATAAATAATAAATAAATAAAAAATAAATAAGAGAACACGGGCATGGATTAACAAATGAAACTTTTCCTTACATTAACAATACGATAAAATAAATTAAATAAAATAAATAAAAATAAATAAAATAAAATAAATAAGATAAAATAAATAAATAAAATAAATAAATAAATAATAAATAAATAAGTATATATAAATAAATAATAAATAAATAAAAAATAAATAAGAGAACACGGGCATGGATTAACAAATGAAACTTTTCCTTACATTAACAATACGATAAAATAAATTAAATAAAATAAATAAAAATAAATAAAATAAAATAAATAAGATAAAATAAATAAATAAAATAAATAAATAAATAATAAATAAATAAGTATATATAAATGAATAATAAATAAATAAAAAATAAATAAGAGAACACGGGCATGGATTAACAAATGAAACTTTTCCTTACATTAACAATACGATAAAATAAATTAAATAAAATAAATAAAAATAAATAAAATAAAATAAATAAGATAAAATAAATAAATAAAATAAATAAATAAATAATAAATAAATAAGTATATATAAATAAATAATAAATAAATAAAAAATAAATAAGAGAACACGGGCATGGATTAACAAATGAAACTTTTCCTTACATTAACAATACGATAAAATAAATTAAATAAAATAAATAAAAATAAATAAAATAAAATAAATAAGATAAAATAAATAAATAAAATAAATAAATAAATAATAAATAAATAAGTATATATAAATGAATAATAAATAAATAAAAAATAAATAAGAGAACACGGGCATGGATTAACAAATGAAACTTTTCCTTACATTAACAATACGATAAAATAAATTAAATAAAATAAATAAAAATAAATAAAATAAAATAAATAAGATAAAATAAATAAANTAAAGCTCTCAAAATCTGTTACTCTAAACAACAAGGGTGAGATGAAAAAAGAGGAGACCGCAAAACTTACCAAGTGATAAAAGCATGGGGAAACTGTTGTTCTAAATATCGAAACCAAAAATTCATTTTAATCTCAGCTTTTCGCTGCGGTAAAGCAAAGACGTAGAAAAATTATACCTTTACACCGTTAAGTCCTGGTTTTCCAGGCGATCCTGAAAGTCCCACTGGTCCCTGGTAGAAAAAGAAGAAATTTTTAAGAGACAGATGGTCAACAGCATACCAAGTACAGTTAAATAGCACTTCTCTAAAAATCATGAGTCAAGGTAACATTGTGAAAGGCTTCAATTTCTTTAGTAAACCTTTGTTGAGTGTGTTGTAGTAATTGATAATATTATTAGTTTGTCAGTATTGAAAGGCACGCATTGTAAAAACTCTCTGTTTGTCATTTACAGAGAGAAAAAGTTTTCCTGAAAATATCACCTGGTTTGTTTCCTAGTTTAGTTATGCAAAACACAAAATTCTGTTCGCTCTGCAAACACTATGTTTCGGTCTATCACAAGTCTCCCATCAGGTGTCCCTTGTAGCCATTCTGGCATCGCAAAGCTTTCGTCGCACAAACTGCTTTGCAAGCAATACACATTAGTAGCACAAAAGCGGTTACTTACAGGGGGTCCCTGAGCTCCAGGCTGACCAGGTGGTCCAGAGGAACCTCTGATTCCCTTTAAAATAAATAAGAGAACACGGGCATGGATTAACAAATGAAACTTTTCCTTACATTAACAATACGATAAAATAAATTAAATAAAATAAATAAAAATAAATAAAATAAAATAAATAAGATAAAATAAATAAATAAAATAAATAAATAAATAATAAATAAATAAGTATATATAAATAAATAATAAATAAATAAAAAATAAATAAGAGAACACGGGCATGGATTAACAAATGAAACTTTTCCTTACATTAACAATACGATAAGGTGGGAGAAAATTAACAACAATCCAGTAGTGCCCCGACAACAATGCTCCAAAAGTAAAAGCTGCGCTCGGGCCGAACATCATTACCTTGAGCCAAAAATTTTCCCGTTTGGCCCTTCCACTCTGTCAACAAGCGCATATTCTCCCAACTTCTCAGCCAGTTAGAGAATCAGTAGCCAGCCAGTTCGCACGAATCTCGACCGTCCTTTTTGATTATTCAATCAAAGACCCTACAAACGGACTTCCATTCCAGGCGTCTGTGTACATTTTATCTTAAGTCTTGATCTTGCAGGGACCCAACTACTGCGTATGCCTTCTTTAGAAAACTTCCCGTTAGTTTTCAGGAGCTGCATGATTTTTTTTTCTTTACACCCAATAAACTACCTTTGACGGGACGACCTTAAGGGACAGCTACATCGCAATGTTTTCTTTTTTTCTGAAATTATTATATTAAGTTGAGCAAAGGGCCAAAAAACAAACTCACAAGCAGGTTTTTCCTCATCACTTACCGGGTCACCCGGTTTGCCCACGCCTCCTTTTTCACCTTCGAGACCAGAATCCCCCTAAGAATACAAACAATGTATTAACAAGTGCTGTTTGTGAATTGCATGTTGTCATTCCCGCCATTTTGCGTGTGCGGCCAGGTTACTAATTTGCTTTTAAAATGGCGACGACCATGACTGGACAATTTTCGAACAGTTTGGTTATTCAAACTGCCGTAAAATGGTAAACGTTCATATGTTTCTATGCCAGACAAAAATTAGATTGCTTCTTGAACATGCTTCCCTGTAAAGTCGAGAAGATTGTCGTACAGCTTGCCACACGCAGAGTGTGGGCACAGTGTCTTGCCCACAATTACACCGGCTCCAAACCTTAGATCCAAAGTCAAGTGCTGCTTGATGAAGTTTGTGAAATTAAGTCTGTTAAAAGGCAATTCAGCTTGAACTAAAGAACATTCAAATCTTACCGCGCCACCTTGTGGTCCTTTAGAACCAAGTGGCCCTTCGTCTCCTTTGCGTCCCTATAATGAAGAGAAACTTTGGATTCAGAAAAAATCTAAAATCAAGAGCTTCCTAGAAATCCTTGAGATGGAACGAGCAAACATGGGCTCCAACTTGCACATCGGAATTCGATTGTCATGTTAACGGATTAAACAAGACATAACCATGTGTTGTAGTTGTTTTTATATATAACATTCAAGATTTAGTAAGGAAAAAAGACAAAACAGAAAAAAAGGAGGTATGTTTCTAAAGAAACTGTGGTGCTACGTCGGTGGGGGTAACAAGGTAATTTAGATTTATCAACTAAGTTGAAATTGTAAATTGTCCACCGCAAAGAGTTAAAAAGCTGACGTTTCGAGTGTTAGCCCTTCGTCAGAGCGAAAGACGAAGGGCTAACACTCGAAACGTCAGCTTTTTAACTCTTTACTGTTGCCAATTTCCATTTTTAATCAGCTCATTTCCGAATTACCCTTGGCCTCATTTTCAAAACGAGTCCTGGTGCTCATCCTTTCATCTGATAATAAGTTTTCATTCACATGCAAATTAAACTCACTTTCACAAGAATGCTTGAGCACCAGACCTCGTTTTGAAAATGAGGCCAAGGGTAATTAGGAAATGGGCTATTGATAAAACCAAATTAGAAAAAAAAAAAAAAAAACACGAGGGAAAAGGATACAAACATGACAAACAAAGACGACAAACAAGCGAAAAAACAAATTCCAACCATTATTTGATTGTGATCAGTCCCACCATTATACCACATACCTTCTCGCCAACATTTCCTTTCAAACCGATTTGTCCCCGCGGTCCAGTTTGTCCCTAAAACATCGAATTGCAACAAAACAAAAACAAAAATCAAAAAACATCAGTGAGACAGAAACCACCTGTCCATTAAAAGTGGTTCACAAGGGCGGATCCAAGAAATTATAATGGAAGGAGGGGGGCCATTGTTACTACCCCCTTCTTACCCACAGCTGCACACACACACATGCACACACACAGGCACGCACCCACACACACACACACACACCTACATACACAAGCATGTGAATCAGCCAGTTGAGAAGCAAAACACGACCCTTTCGTAGCAAAAAGTTTGGTATTAGACAACTTGTAAAGAAGTTCACAGATCTGATGGGGAAGGGAAGGGGGTTCTGACCCTCTAGACCATCGCGTAGGATCCACCTGGAGGTCATTTGCAATCACGATTAAAACTGATTCCCGAACAATTTAGCAACGCGTGGGTACAAACCGGCATTCCAGATCGTCCAGGAGTGCCTGGCGAGCCAACGGGGCCTCGTAATCCCTGCAAGACAAAAGTAACCAGGCGGTCGAACGTCTCCTCATATTTTAACATTGTAAAGTCTGAGAAGCGACTCGACATCGTGCTTCAAGACTCTCAGATGAAACTTTATGATGTAAAACAGGAATACAAACAACTACACAAGCCAGCAAGTCACGGTGTTTTAGGAACGTATAATGTTTTCGGTAAAGCTCAAAACAAATGGTAAAATTAACAGAATACCAGTTAAATTAAATCAACTATCACTTCAAAAAGTCCTAAGTTGTCATTTTCTCCAGTTTTGACTTCTTTTTACTGAGTTACACAATAGTTTCGAATTTTTACCGAAAGTTTGGGTTACACCGGTTGGTAATTAGGTATTTCTTCACAACATTAGGTAGAAAATTGGCGCGCAGCCGGTCAAAATTGATCCACTTACGCATGCCCAACGTTTGACCCCTGTATGAGACAAAGTACAATCGCTTTTACTTTTTGAAAGCTAAGCAATGGCGGTCAACTCAGACAGGTAAAAATATTACTTAAACTGAATTAGATCAAGTTTAAGCTACACTACAAATCACTTAGGAAAATATTGATGTTAGTGTTGTTCTCCAAGTGAACCAACAGAATTTCCAAAATGAAACATACCACACATGAGGGAATTCGCAAATCCCTTCTTTGCGAACAAAATACATCAGACAACTTACCTGATCGCCGCGTTTTCCTCTCAGTCCAGGAGTTCCAGGAGTACCATCTTGTCCCTTGGAGAGTAATTTTCACATTAGGTCTCAGCAAGATACTAAAACCACTACACTAGAAGCAGCCAAACTTAACATGAGAAAATGTATAATGCTCTTTTGTTGGACCTAAGATGCTAAGGTAGGCAAAGTTCGAGACCACGTAAGACAACTCTAAGGTTCCTCGAGAAAATCAATCGAAAACCGCTCTATCTTATCTCATTAACAATTACGCAAAATAAAGTTCACCTTTGGTCCAGGCAACCCAGGTGGGCCAACACTTCCAGGAACCCCATCCGAACCCTATCGAAAAATAAAAGAAAAAACCTTCTTGTTCAGGAACTTTTTTTCCCCTCAAGATTGCATTTCAAATCGAAGACACCAATTGGACATTTTTCCTACCCCAACACCATCGTTTCCATCAGAACCAGGAGGACCAGCCGCACCAGGAGATCCCTATAGAGAAAAAAACCTGATATAATTCACTCTCCTTCGTATCCTATTCTCCACTTGTCGCTAACCAAAACAGTATTGCCCCAGCTCATCACCGAGTTCTCTGTAGCCCACTGGCAGAACTTCGGAGCGCGGAATCCGAAGGTCTGGGGTTTCATTTCGCGTGGGAACCTACATGGTTTTCTTTGTCTAATGCCCACGACAAAAACGAGAAACATCTTTCTTTACTCGACTACCAAGCTCAAAATTTACCAGTTTCCTCACTCCATCCCCCCACAGAACGATATCTTCATTGCTGATCCTGGCAGTTGAACACGTTGTATACGAAACTAGACTCTATCCTGACTCAACATCGAGTTTCCTGCAGCTCACTCAATGAGCACAAAATCTAAAGGTAACGGGTTCGATTCCATGTGGAGGACTCTCGCTGAATCGTCGTGCCACGCTCAAGACAAAACAAATAACATCGCTGTTTATTTGACGACGAAGCTCAAACTTCGCCATCTTTAATGAAAACGAAATGGGAATTTAGCAGTGGACATTCTACGAGGTGGCTCTTCTCGTCTACTGTTTTCAGGTCGAATTGGAATTTGAAACGATAGTTTCATTTCAAATTCATTTCAAGGAGGAAAACCGGAAGACACGGAGGAAAAACCCTTGATGCAAGGATGCAAACCAACAACAAACTTAACCCACATGTAACGCCTGTCCGGGAACTGAAACCAGGGCCACTGCGGCGAGATCCGAGTGTTCTCTACACTATCACCGCTTTCTTACTTATCCCATAATACTTTTTATATTGCTGATCCGAGAAGTATGCACAGCATTTGTCGGAAGCTCTCTCCCCGCTGCACGCTGGTAGACCATCAAAGATCTGAGGTTAAATTCCTCGTTTCTTTGTTTCACTCTCGTGGAAAAACAAAAAGCATTTTCCTTTGAGTGAGGGTTTTCATCAGTACATTGTATCTCGATTGCAAAACTCAATATAGTTTGTTAAATAATTGATCTTAATCGACCAAAAACACTTACAGGCTCTCCTTTTTTCCCGGAGCCACCAGGTCTACCAGGAAGTCCTGGGAAACCCTAACAAAACAAAAGAATAAAAGAATAAGCATGGAGAGCATTAGACTAGAAACATTTGGAGCAAACTCCTATCGGGTGTCGAATGTAATCCACGATTACTTTGGTTCTGCTTTACTTGTGATTGGTTTAAAATCTCGCGCCATTCTCTCAACCAATCAGATTTAAAAGTAAAACCAATCGCGATTTGGTCGCCCGCGTTTTCCCGCACTTAATCTGTTTGTTTTACTTCTCATTGGCTCCTTGACATGTACTTAGTTCTGATTGGCCCGATATGATTGCTTTAGTTTTGGTTTTGTGACACTCAGTAGACAAAGCGTTTTATCATGTAATGTTTTTCCGCTTTTCTTGGAGCAGTTTTCAGATAAACGCCGGAAGTAAAGAGGCTTGCTTTGGGTTTGGTTAAAGAAGCTTTGTAATTGGTCATGAAAACTGACTCCACTTTCCAAACTAAGCAGATTCAAAACTGAAAAAAAAAAAAACAATCGTGACTTGGTCATTCAAAGTTTCCCGCGCTTGAGGCCTGTAACAGAGGTTAACTTTCAGTTCTCATTGGTCTCTTAGTATATTTCTTTTTGTATTCTGATTGCCCGACGTGATTCCTGCATCTTAACATTAAACCCTGTTTTTTTTTTTACAAGATTGTTGCACGCTGTTTGAGTCAAGCTTTTCCCTCCTTAACTTTCCTCATTTCATTTTGGTACATTCTTTCCTCTATAGTGTTTCACTGTGCTGATTAATTGTTATTTAAACGTTTTCTTCTTCTCCACGACAGATACCGAAAAAAGAAAAAAACCACAGCCTTTTCACCCAAAAGAACGCGAAATCAATCCTTGCCTCTGTCTAAAACACAGTCTTCATAATTTTAGCTCTGAGAGTTTGGCGAAAGAACAATGTTCCCTTGTTCTTTTTTCTTCCTTGTCATATCCTCTCTGTCTACATAACAACATACCGGTGATCCCGACGAGCCTGTCGCTCCTCGCTTCCCTTCAGGTCCTTTGTCTCCCTAAAATAAATCAATAATCAGAGTTTTACTTATTTCATTGAAGAACAAACATTACAGTAAATGCTGTTTCTTAGGTTCTAGCGTTCTTACGCATTACGAACCAGTTTCTCTCGGAAAAGGAGTCACGTGTTTAACGGAGNCTTTTTACAGTTGTGGGCTTGGTGGCCAAGCCTTTGAACAGGAGTGAGGCTTAGGGTGACCTTGTTATGATAGAGATGTTGCTGCTTTTCAAATGCAAATTACTTTGTTATCATGCTAACTAGATACAGGTCTCTATCACAACAGGGTCACCTTTAGCCTCACTCCTGTTCAAAGGCTTGGCCACCAAGCCCACACCTGTAAAAGGGACTATTCGTGATATTATACCGGTGCGCCCATAGGTCCGGGTTCTCCAGCTTGTCCGCGGTTACCCTGCAAAATAAACCATAATTTAGAACAAATAATGAATAAACTAACGAGTGCAGAAATTGAGGAATTTCACCTAAAAGAGACTAAAAAGACAGCACCAGTGAAAACTGAATTAAACGCCGGAAATAAAAATCGAAAAATGGTTCACACAAAATTCTGCTGGCTTGAGCTTAGAGACTTTTAGCTATCTTGAGCAAATTGTATCTTTGAAGCAGAAACAAGATAAAACCAAAATGCAACAATCTTGTCAAAGTACAGACGAGTGTGCGCTTTTTGGGAAAAACGCTCATGTAATTTGTGATTTAAACGAAACTCATCTTACCGCTTCTCCTGCCCTCCCATCTTTTCCCCTCTCTCCTCGTACACCCTGACAAAAGAGAAATATTCAAAAACGACCGATGAGACAATGCAGCAAAGTTCAATGTTACAAGAATGTAAACGTCTGTGACACCGCAAGGGGGTTGGGGAGGGCATAATTCACAAATAGCAAAATGTGCCAGCCCTTCTGATCAAGCTTAACCCTTTTTGCCCAAACATCAACATGCACCGACATCCTACATACAGTTCTCTAGACATTTCTTAAGGTGCTCACTAAGATAATTCGTTTAACCACTTCCTTAGTTGGTGATCATTTCCTTTATTCTCGTGACCTTACATTTGATTTATTACGAGTGATATTGTAACGAGAAATTAGATGCTGGTCAATCTTGGGGATGAGCGATACTCTCTTAGTTCGAGCGATACTCTGTAAAAACTTCTCCATGCTGCGTTAATTGAAGAGGATTGTTTTCCTCATCCCTCAAAAATCCTTTCTTGAATGAATTACAATTTTTCTCACTTTGCCTCTCCTTCAGCGCTCAAAGTTAATTAATAAGATTCTTCTCTGAAAAACTGTTATGCCCGTCGCATGTACCTTTGCGAACAAAAACCATAAACATTTCCCAAGTAATACATGTTGTTTAACACTCTAACTCACCGGATTTCCTGTATTACCAGGTACACCAGTCGGTCCTACGTTTCCTCCAGGGCCCTAAAATAGAAATGGTATAATCACTTCCTGTTATTTTCCTGTTAATTACATGTATATTTGAAGTACAATGACCTTGTGTAGAGGCTACAAGCTGGTAACCAGCCCATTAAAACCAGCACATATACGCTTCCTGGGTGCTAAGTTTACCTGTTCTCCCGCAGGTCCTTGAAGACCCAGTTCTCCTCTTTCTCCTCGACGACCCTGAAATAAAACATTCCTCAGTCAGTCCTTCATCACGCGTGTACTTTGTACATACCAAGGTAAGCGGGCCATTATTTTATAGTTAAATTAATTTTCTTGTGAAAATAAGGGCGTCAGGCCCTTGGAGTAAATCAAAACGCAACTTCTCAAGGAAGTACCTACCTCTCTTCCAGGGATTCCCGGCTTTCCTTGTTGACCTCTTGAACCCATGCTACCCTGGTAACAAAACAGTAAATTATACCACTTCTGAATCAATATTGAGTCAGCTCTACCAAAATGCAAGGGGACTGAGAACGAGTTTGTTATAAGGATAGCAGCTAATAACATGATTTTGAGTGTAATTTGTTTTAAGCACAAGTACATTTTTCACAGACAACAAAATTGTAGTCTTTAAAAAATTTTACATGTGCTTATTTACACCAAATTGCACTCGAAATCATGCTATTACATGTTAATAATTTTCTCGAAAGACATGTTTCGGCAAGCATATGCCATCTTCAGTCAATGAGTAACTGAGTGTGAACAATTATATAGTATACAAGTAGATGAATAAATTCTTTACAATATGATGAAATTCAAAAGGGGGTACTAATTACAACGTGACACCAAAACATCAAAGGTGTAAACTAGAACGTTAGAAAAGTGTTATAATGCTGTAATCGTTTGTTAAGTTCAGGTTTGATCTTATTTATATAAAAAGCTTCTTTAATTGAGTTTTAAATCAATTGAGTTGTTAGCAGAATCCAGAATACTAAAACAAGAAGGAGAGTATTTGTTCTTACAAGAAGGAGATGTGTTGAAATGCTTAAAAATGTGTGATTTTTTATCGCTTTCCGTGTGCTCCTTTATCCTTATCATGGGAAAAGCAGCACGAGGTCACTGCTTAATACAAGTTCATCAGAACTATGGTGGCATGCTTTGCCATAATTGACCACTTAATTTACAAAAACCTGCTGAAAATACTACGAAAATTTGTATTGGGAAATTAAGATGGATTATGTATTACTTGAAAGATTAGTCTTAGTTTGGTTTTAATGGTTGCACTTTAGTGACAGAGTTCAATACAAGTGAAGAACAACACAAAAAGGCCATTGGGACTCAGTAAAGGGTGACCACGAAAAAAGAAATAGAGGTGACCACTTCGAATTGAAGTGGAAATTACAAATATCAGGACTTTGACATCCGACAGGGTGACAACTTAATACAGTATCACTTAAAAGCAGGTTTAACTGCATTTAACTTAGCTTATCATGCTTCCTTATAAATTTTTATTTTAGCATGGGAATTAAACAAATAAATGGAAAAAAGAGGAATAAAGACTATTAGATCAGGGTTCCACTTGAACATTATAATTGCACATCCTCCTTAGCACTCCTCACCTTCGCTCCTCTAGAGCCCCGAGCACCGGGAGCACCATCTCGTCCTGGATTTCCCTGATAACGAAAAAAAACACACCATTTCATATCTCTTTGAGTGGTGATTACCTAACTTTAAATAGCAAGGTGCAGAAGAGCTACACTTTCAATTATGAATTTTTGGAAGAGTGGATGGTGAACAGTGGATGGAGGACAATGTGTGGTGGACAGTTGATGGTGGACAATCAATTGTGGACAGTGGATGGTAGAAAGTGAATGGTGGACAGTCAATGGTGGAGTGGACAGTGGATGGCAGATGGTGGACAGTAGACAGTGGTTAGTGGATGGTGAACAATAGCCAGAGGCTAGCTGACAGTTTCCTTGGGGCAGTGGACGGCTACTAGTTCATGATAGATGGTGGACAATGTCCACTGGGTAATAAGAAATGTGTTTTCTTAAAACTTGAACTGTTACTACTTACCATAGATCCTTTGGCTCCACTGAATCCTGGGATACCCTGTGCACCTGGAGGGCCCTGAATTGAAAAAAATTAAATGTGAAATGAAAAACTGATCCAACACCCTTTTGATATACAAAAAAATTCAAATATTTAATGCCATAAATTGAACAATACTACTCCTTGCTGCTTCATTTTAGCTGCCAGTCAAGATTACAATTAGCTATCAATCACTGGATTAAATTATTACTACTTCAATCATAACCATTACAATTTCCTCAAATGTGATTGGTGCATGAACTGCTTTATTTTAACCTATTTTTCTGTTATATCGTAATTGGACAGTGTTAAATCAGACAGGTTACTGTAATTGGACACCTGTAATCAGACACTTGTAAGCAGACAGTTAAAGTAATCAATCGACCAATCATATTAAGTCCACTTAGCTAAATCCACCAATCCCAGAATTGATTACATTAACCATGGCAACAAGCACTTAATCTACAAAACTAAGGAATTTCCAAAAATTGGACTCCAGCTTTGCTTTCATCCAGACTTGTAATCACTTGTATGATTACAGACTGAATTGGACCCCATTGCACCCTATTATCATTATTTACAGAGTTCTTTCTGGCATGCTAACATCAATTCCTTTTTTTCCTCTACTTTTTTGGCAACTTTGCCAAAAAGGAGGAACTGTTCGTAGTCTGCTCTTGTGATAGCTAGAGAAGTGGAAAAAGATCCATACATTCTTTAAAAAAAAAAAAAAAACTATGCGCATCCAGCCATATCTTAAAAGATGCTTCTAGATAATGTAGTTATTTAATACTTACAGGAGTACCTACTGCGCCAGGTCGGCCATCATCTCCTGCTTGACCCTGAAAACATCAATAAGAGAATTTAAAAAATTGCATATCCCATGCATGATAGCATTTATGCTACCCATGTTGAACTTGTGCAGCAAGTCTTATTGGAGCTCGAAATGTGAGCCTGTTTGCAGGCTATATTCTTCTCGCCTTATCCTGATCTTAAGTCACTGAAAATCAAGTTTGCTAAATGCTGTACTTTTGGGTTCCTTTCAAGCAATTATGCATTATCTACCCCACTTGCAATTTAGCCTTTTTTTCCTTTGCAATCGTTAATATTTTGTGGATTAATTCTCTCCTTTTTTGTAAATAATCTGGGTATAAGTATGTGCATTTGTTTTCAGTATCATGCTGTGAATAGTGAAAGTGGTACAAGGTAAGTATTACAAAGGTTAATTGTATCCTAAGAGTACTGTAAGTACCATATCTTAAGTAGTGTAATGCAATCAGTACATAGAGAATTCTGCGTAGTTTAATGTTTAATGTAAGTATTGCAAGTATAGTGTTCTTGTATGATTGTAATTTAAAAATGAATAAAGGCTGATAGTTTCGAAAGAAAATGTTTGGGGCTGCGTCGGTGGGAGTAACGAGATAATTTGGATATATCAACAAAGTTGAAGTGGTAAATTGGCCACCGTAACGATTACAAAAGTTGACGTTTCGAGCGTTAGCCCTTCGTCGGAACGAATTTAAAAAGGCAGACATAAATGCTAGTAGAGCACATTCTTTGCCTATTGATAATTATGCCAATAATTATTTAATTGAGAATGCTTAACAAAGCATACCGGTGCTCCAGTATTACCAGGTCTTCCTGGTTTGCCAGCTGGACCTTGCGATCCCTGTGAGGACAAAATAGAAATTTTACTACAAGCACAATAACAAATCAAGTGAACCTTCTCTTTGCACCTGAATTACAGTTATTTTTTACATTTAAGTAACATACCCTTATCCCTGGCCTTCCTGTTTCACCAAGATCACCTGGATTTCCCTGTGGATCAAAAATGAACATATATATGCTCAGCCATTTTGTAAATTTTCCCCGACAGTAACATATGCGTTACTTCCATACTTTGTTCCATTCCATTCTGTTCTACATTTGGTTTACATTAATTGTTACTTTCTGTTCTGTCAATTTTTATCAATCATCAAGAATACTTATATATATATATATAATCAATTGTATAGGAAAATAAAAATTAAAACTTCGCACTACAGAACTGTTTCGAAAGGCTCTGGTACTCCTCTCTCGTCAGGTGCATAAAATACTGGTTGACTGACGATCCTTTTATAAGTTGGTGGTTCAAGCATGCCTTATCAAGTATTTAGTTGAGTGCCAGCATGCACTTGCCAGTTCATTCCTTTTGTTGAGGGTGCCCGCTCCTGTTCTGCATGTGATGAAAAATTCTTCTGTTACACAAAGATTGCATCTCTTTGTTGCATTCAAGTACGGCCTGGCGCGAGCCATTATTTTCCAGGTCACGGCAAACTCCATTTCAGCATCCTTTAGGGACCAGATGTATTTGCTCAACTCTGTTGCGTTCCTTTTGTTCTCATTTCTAAATGAAGCTGTATGGTTTTTAAATCTTGTTTTAAATAAATTGGTTCACAGTAAGGCTGATGTACGTTAAGTGGGTTCCCGTGGGACTTTCAACTGTGGCCTGGTAGACCAAATTTTGAATTAGGCAATTGCCACCTAGCGGACAAGAATGCTTGTCTCTACAATTGCATGATTTTTCTTGTGATTGAGAATTATTTGCGAGGGAGGACTTGTTGTGGGCGTTGATTTTTCTTCCCAAATTTGGCATGCATGTATAGCTCACTTTCAAAGTGTTCCTATTTAAAATTTTTCTTGGTGGGTGCCCTGGTGTAAAGGATTCTTTTGCGATACCTAAAAATTTCCTTCCCACGTTAGTAGCAACGTTCTTACTAAAAGGTGGGTTATACCAAGTTATATTTCGGTGTCTTTTTCTCCCTTCTGTACTCCTCTGGTCTTAAGTTGTTGTGTCAAACTTTAATTGGTGATTATAGCCACTTGCTTCTAACGCTTGCTGATACATGGGTGCTACTTTGTCGAAGGATACCCTGTCCGATGAGATTTCGCTAAGCCTTTTATTGATCGCTAGGAGAATGTTCTTTAGGATGGAAGGTGGATGATTGCTATCACAGTGCATATAAATAGGTGCATTGTTAGGCTTTGTATATGGTTCATAAGATCCTTCATTTAGGTTCAAAGTGACATCGAGAAAGTTGACCACTTTTTTGTTTGCTTCAATAGTTATTTTCAAGCGGTTGGTGCTGAACACTTTGAAAATATCTTTTTTGATTTTTTTGATCCTTCTCGGTGTTTCCTGGAATGCACCCAGGCCATCATCCCTGTACAAGCCTATTTATTTTCTGATGTCTTCTGGTAGTTGGTTCAGCAAGTACTATCCCACTAGTTCACAGGTTTCCGCACCGTCAACCTGAAGTTTTAATTTCTATTTTCCTATACAATTGATTACAAAGCTCCATGATTGTAGAGCACTCTCCGATTTGAGGAAAAAGGTTTTTTTACGTTTATATATATATATATATATAGAGTTGAGAGTAAACACAATTCAGGATTTTCCTGAATAGCGTGATGATAACTTGTTTGATTCATAATACTTACATTCTAAACATGAAAGTTAAATTCATCCAGATAAATTATACTCCATTTCTAAACATTAATGTCTTCATTCAAGTATGTTCTGAAAATACTGGAGGAATTAACTCCTGATATGATCTTATGATACAAAAAAAATTGCCAATTAAGTTTATAAATATTTCTCCAAAATACCTGGTCACCTTTGGCTCCTGATAAACCATCAGCACCTGGAGGACCTTGGGCACCCTGTGATGCAATGACAAGGTATTAACTAAATCTCACTAATATGAGATTAACAATGAGATTAACAACTATCTCCCACCTAATTATCAGTCAGCTAATTTTAAACATGTGCCGAGGAGTGATTAAAAAAAACAAGGAAACAATCAACCAAAACTCATGCACTATCAGTGGCAAATTTACGGGTTACAAAATATTTCTTACCCTTTCACCTGCTCTTCCTTCTGCTCCTCGGTAACCACCTTCTCCTTGGCTGCCCTGTGTCACAGCAGGACATGAATTAATGAATAGGTTAATTGTCAAAAATCTTTATTACCCTTTATTGTTGGATGTCTAATTTGAGAATTCTGTACTCTGATTAGCTCTTCTTGAGGATAACATGAACCCACTTTAATCCCCCTTTTAAAAAAGCCTTCAGTTGTGGTTGGTTTACATACTTAGTAACTGCATGGAAACTTTTTCAGCTAAAAGAAAAAATCTTTTTCAGAAGTTTTCACATAAGTTTTGCCATGACAAAACATGTCTTTCACATTGTAACCAATGTCCAGCTGGCTTCACCCCAAGCTGGGGGGAATTTATTCATATTATTCATAATAATACTTTAATAATGATCAATAATCATCTTCAAGAAGAGTACAACATTTTTTAATTTTGAAGACATGTTTCGATGTTACGAACATCATAGTCAGTTACAGAATATTTGAAAAACCATTAGGACTATATAACAACTAAGCGAAACATGCAGAATAATTATGATTAAGTGACAAAAATTACATATTTGAGTGAGTAACAAAGTGTTGGAAAGAATACAAAGCCTAAAGCGTAAGCGTCATGTTGACGTGATGAACTTGTTGGTTTAAATTAGGCCTTTTCCAATTTATGCGCATAGCCTCCTTAAGTTTAAGTTGAAATTTAGTAGGGGCAGAATCAAGGATTTCAAAACAATTCGCAGAGCAAGATTGCATGACGACAACTTTCTGAGTTTTGTAAATGTTTGAAGATATGTGAGGACTTGTCTGAAGAGAGATGTTCACGGATGCATGTGGAAAAATGATGACCAGTTTCACCGATATAGCAAGCGTTACAGCAAGCACAAGTAAATTTATAAATAAACCACACGTGAACAAAGTTCTCTAGGGACAGAATCCTTCACTGAGAAAAGATTTCTTAATTTAAATGTGGTAAACACTAATTTGATGTCAAGATCGTTTTGAAATCCTTGATTCCGCCCCTACTAAATTTCAACTTACCTAAACTTAAGGAGACTATGCACATAAACTGGGAAAAGCCTAATTTAAACCAACAAGTTCATCATGTCAACATGATGCTTATGCGTTTAGCTTTATATTCTTTCCAACACTTTGTTACTCACTCAAATATGTAATTTTTGTCGCTTAATCATAATAAATTATGCATGTTTCGCCTAGTTGTTACATAGTCTTAACGGTTTTTCAAATATTCTGTAACTGACGATGATGTTCGTAACATCGAAACATGTCTTTTATGTTAAAAAATGTCGTACTCTTCTTGAAGATAACGATTTGCTTTCTGCTGTCTCCACCTTTTGGATCAATAATTAATAATAGGAATCATTTAAGTTTGATTCAGATCACCTGTGCTCCTGGTTCACCAATATTTCCTCTTTTTCCTGACCTTCCTTGTTTACCCTTAAATTAACAAAATCATGAATTTTTTAAACCTCAGAAGTGACTTGACAAAAGTCTGAAATCCTTTAACTTGTAAAGCAACAAACCTACCCTCTTGCCTGGAGGGCCTCTAACACCTATCCCTCCAGCATTTCCCTTGGTTCCCTAGAGAGAGAGAAAAACAAAAAGGGTCTTTTGATGCTTTCTAACTTTCCAAGAAACAATGAAATCCTAAAGGCAATTTGCCGGTCTTTTCAGGTTGTTTAGTCTGCAGGCAGGTATGGACATCTCACAGCTTCTAATTAGATTAAGACCACATGTAGAGACCAGGGCCTGGTTGTTCAAAGGCTGATTAGCACTAACCCAGGGTTAAATTTTAATCCAGGTTTCTCTATTTATCTCATCAAAAGCCGTTTTGGGATAATTTTTCCAATTCTCTATAGAACATCCAATCACCAAATTGTAGACAAGTGGAATTTAGCTGAATCATCTTTGAAAGCTTTCAGATCTGAAATCAAATTTCACACTAACCCTTGGTTATCTTAACCTGGCTTTGAACTACCTGGTCCAGAATTCCACAAAAGAGACTTATCAAAGAGGGGAGCTCATCAAAGAGCACAGGCTTTTGGGAGGAAGGTTTTATTAAGAGGGGCATGTTGTAGAAAGGGGGAGGGGGTTCTAGACAGGAGGCTTATTTGAGACTTATAATCCAAGCTCAAGGCTTATCAAAGGGCAGCATACTTGTAGATTGGAGTGAGCTCATTAAAGAGGGTGGCTGGTTAGGGAAGGGGGCATGTTAGAGAAGAAACCTTTCTAGAAGTGGAAGGCTTCTTAGATATGGCATTTATTGAGGGGCTATGAAAACAGGGGGTTATTGGGGAGAGGGACTTATTAGAGTGTTAATTAACAGTGAAAAAAAAAGGTCCATTAGCACTCACTACAGAACCCTTGGCTCCTTCTGATCCTCTTTTTCCAGGGCGACCAGGTGCTCCCTGTCAAAAGATAAAAAAAAAATATCCAACATCCAGATTTTTAAGCCAGCTTAATCAGAACATTAAATTGAGCCATGACTATATGAATATAGTGCTGGCTCCCGATTGAATGTAACCAATCTGGACAAGCAAGTGTACTGCAATTGAAGCAATTGCACAAAAGAAGCCTCATAAAATTCAGGCCTTGACAGATTGATACCCCAGCCTGCCTGCCTGCCTGCCTGCCTGATACGAGCCGGGAGCAAGAGAAATTTCCTACCCAGTCCACTTGAGGGAACCATTTCTTTGCTTGGAATTCATTCACAGTTCACATGAAATTTATCTCATGAAAAAAAAATGTGAAAATTCTACATTTCATCAATTCACTTGACCAAAGACACATTGTATAAGCAATACCCAAAGCCTAATGAATGAAACTATAGAGTCTGTAACACATAAAAACTTTGAAAAGTTTTCAAAAAAGATTACCAAGTCTCCCCTTCTTCCAGGTTGTCCAGGTGACCCGGGATTTCCCTAGAATGACAGCAACGAGAAGTCCAGATGTCAAAAGTAGTATTTGTTAGTTATCCTAAGTATGTTGTGGGATGCACTCTGTGAAATAATGTATGTTGTCACTTATATTTGGGCAAAGAGGAAAGTCAGTCAATTTCTGTTAACAACAAAACTGAAAGCTGGCCTTTGCTTAATATACCTCAATCTGCACGTATTACACCTGCACACACATGGTGTCTTCTAATTGTTTGGTACTGGGAAGTGTTTGACATTTTAAGGGGGTTACCAACACATCTACAGTTTTTTACTAATAGCAGCAGCTTACTACAATATTAATTACACACTTGTTACAAAACACTGAAGTTGAAATTGTGATCAGAAATTCTGACAGAAGGGAGATCAACAATTTAATTATGATAGATTAAATATTGCAGTACATACTGGTGCTCCTTCTGGTCCAATATCACCAAGTGGTCCCATAGCTCCTGCTGCTCCCTGTCAAAAGAGGCTTCATAGTTAATACTATAATCTACCACTTGAGGGAACCATCATCTTTCAAACCAGCAGTCTAAATCCCACAGGGATCAACGAATGCTTTTCATTCCTCTAATTTATTCTTGTTTTTCTCGTTGCCATGTTCCCACCAATAACGTAGCTACATTCTCTGCCTTTAAAAGCACACACAACCCACAATTCCTCTATTCGCTCCAATGAAGGGCTAACGCTCAAAACGTCAGCATTCGGAATCATTATAGTGGCCAATTTACCACTTCAACTTTGTTGATATATCCAAACTATAATCTACCCAATGGTGCTGGCCTTTCAATTCTGTTATCCTCATTGGCCTTCCTGTCTGTCAATCCCAGAATGAAACGTTTACTGACAATGCGGTGACAACATTAATTACAGATACCTGTACTTACAATGTATTCCAAATGTAATTTAATGCTCTCATTTTTTAAAATGAGAGCATTAAATTAGCTGCACTTAGCTTTATCATCATACAACCATTAGCTTTAAATATCATTAAACAACCATAACTCCTGGTACTCTAATTACCATATCACCCTTGTAGCCTGGTCTGCCCTCAGCCCCAGGCTGTCCCGTTTGTCCAGCATCTCCTTTAGGACCTTCCTTTCCAGGCTCTCCCCGCGGCCCTTGTCGTCCAGTTGGACCAGCCGGTCCTGGAGCACCTTGGTCACCTTTGGCACCAGGGGCTCCATTGCTTCCAGAATTTCCAGTCTCTCCTGGAACACCCTTTGAGAAGAATCAAATAAACCTTACCATGTTTAAATTAACAATTATTAATTCACTGAAGGTTCATTAATGAATATTAATGTTGAATAATCCCTGAGACAAAGTTAATACAATTCTGTTACAATTGTTTTGATTACTCATTTCGAGATAAGCATCCAGTTTCTACCAGAATTTTAACAAGTTTATTTAATTCAATTAGCAAAAAAGGAATTGTTTTGCACCAAACTTAGTAGCAACTTTTGTGTTCTTCAGAACTGTATTTTGTCCTATCGCATTTATATTTTCTTGCCTCTAACAATGACAAAATGCGAGGCAGCCATTTTGAAAATTAGCACCCTAGCTGCTATAAACTCATGCAAGGTGATTATATATAGCAAAGATATGATACAATCCTTGACCAATCAGAGCATGACCAATCAGAGCAAACATCTCTATGATCACTGGAGAAATTATACTGGGCTACATTAATGCCACCTGCATTAGTCACATTACCTTTAGAAAACTTTACAAGCAAAATAATTCCTATCAAAAGAGATCAACTTGCAAAGTGTCATTGATCAAGTGTAATGTAATTTACTCTACATTTTATTACTAATAAGTATAATTTATACCAAAAGAAAAAGGGGAGCAGTTTACTTACAGCAGGTCCCTCTGGGCCTGGTGTGCCTATAGCTCCAGGTAATCCCTAAAACAACACAAAAAAGAAAGATTGTTTGCACATCTTCATACACAATAGCAGCATTTTGGGGGAAGTTGAAGTTAACTCCATGACTTTCTATAACAACTGCTCCAGGACATTTTGGACATTGTCAATTACTTACTAAGATCAAAACTGGTTTCAAACAAATACAAAAGCTTTGTAGCTCCCATTGCGGGCCTATGTTTTACGTAAAACATCCGGGAAATCACCCATGTGCTTTTGGAAAAAATATCATCGCATTCATGTCAAAATATTTGTTACAGTGGATTATCGTTGTTTAAAGAAACCCGAAGCTTGAACAGTCAAAAATCATTCACTCTGTAAGACTTTGATTCAACTACAGATAAACAAATAACTTAAAACTCAACCTACTGGATTTCCTATTGACCCTGCTTCCCCAGTTTGTCCTCGAAGTCCTTGGGCACCCTTGTGAAGAAAATAATAGAATTATATATATTAAACTTGTACTCAAATGAGGAATTTCTTGAGAGTAATATCTGCAGTGGCTTCATTGAGGCTTGGAGCAGGGGGAGGTAGTGGGACATCTGGATTTTGTAATTGGACATAGTACTTTATGCACCTGAACATAGCTTCCTTTTTCACAGCTGTCCATTAATTTACCTATTGCCCGATTCTTGCATGAAATTCCAGGGATTTGACAAAAGAAGATAACCACTTCAGTCATTCTGCAAATACTTACCGGTGCTCCATCTGCACCAGGCCTACCATTTTCACCTCTAAATCCCTACAACATAATCAAAAGTTTCATTCATTGGCAAAGAAATTTAAAGATAAAGGTGACATTTAGTAAACATAATGATTTAGATCTAACTGAAATGATGAGCAGAATTACACTTCAACAGACTTCAACCATGAAATGATTAGTTTTTAAACTCACCTCCCCC